ACACACACACACACACACACGCACATACACACAGACAGGCACATACGCACATGCACACGCATACGCACGCACGTGCACACATATAGACTCACATTCTCTCACACATCCTCTCCGACACACACACACATCTATCTGTGCACATTTCCATAATAATACACTAACCGTATACTCGCACTCACAAACGGGCTCACAGTCACATGCATGATATAAATGAACAATAATTGTTAACATTAATAGTATTAAGCTAGATACGTAATCAGTATTCTGACTGTAACCCAGTGGTATTCTGACACTGCTTGCTTTAAATAAGTTGATGAAATGGCGTCAACTTTTGGGGAGGGTGCCCTAACAAAAATGCATCTTAAAGTGATTCTAATAAATATTTTCAAATGGAGATCAGTGAGTATCGGTTCCTATGATATTCAGATACCTCAAAAATGAGAAAAGTTAAAAATCGATATTGTGACCAAAACATGGTATTTTAAGACCTGTGATTTCCCTTTAATTTAAGTTCATAGAAATACTTATACGAGTATAACAAGATGATGTTTGGTAAATATCAGGGAAACGTCTGACTCTGCCTCTGTTCTTTACGCCAGGGGTCACCAAACCACACCCCGTGGGCTTGATCTGGCTCGAGGGGTCAATTCGTCTGACCCGTAACTATGCCACTATTTAGGAAAAGAACAAGCAAACAAAAACAAACAAACAAACAAACAAAAACACAAAAAACAAACGAACTTGGAAAGCATTTTCTTAACGTGCTCAATACTTGGTCACCAAAATAAATAAATAATTTAAATGAACTCTGCAATACCAAGCAAACGTGGTTTTATTAACCTCATAACACTTGGCTAATGTATCACAAACTTGCCCGGCTTCAATCTTACTAAGAATTTTACGGCACTTGCAACACGCTTAGGTCATTTAAGTGCCAAGGGTTAGAGGGGAGGTAAGGACGATAGATGTTTGATAGGAAAGGAGCAAGCCAGGGCGAATCACCCGCCAATCACCCACTCGGATTCAATGTGACAAATCTTATATTTAGGACAAAAGTGTATTGTATTGAACAGTGTCATGACGTGGGAGTCCGGCGCTCTTCAATTTTAGGGTATGCGGAGTGATTGGTATCTCCTAAAGTTTGTTCATTTGCCTTGCTTTCGGAGAAAAAATACCCTTCTATCTTGAATAGAAGTCGAGATATTTGCAATTGAAGGAGGGGAGACGACGCCTGATTTCAGAGACAAAATAAATGGCTATTAAAGTTTGACAGCTTCATAAGCAGTACATAATATTTTTGATTTTAATTAACGTGTTTCATTATAATTCACATGTTAATGTGTTGTTACATGAGCATAAGAGGTGTTGAGCTAAACAACAAAAATTCGATTAAAATTGAGAAACTGGCCAAAAAATACCTGCTTCTTCGATTTCATTATTTACATGAGCGCCTGATTTCACCACGATGTCTCTTAGTTATCCGACCCGCCCTCGGCATTCTCTAAGCTGACCCTTACTAAGCTAATGCCCCGTGGCCCCTATCTATTAGTTGTAGCGAAAGGATAAGAAAAACATCTCAGGAATGCAAAATAAAAATTAGCTAACTTCACACCTTCATGAAAAACACCACAATGATATGTATGTATGTATGTATGTGGGGGGGGGGGGGTGTTGTTCCGTTGATTTGCTGATCTGTTTATGGTAATGTGCTACATTAAAAACAAAACAAATATAGTTAACGTACTAACAATTTAAGTCTTGGACTTAATGAAGTAATAATTGTTGGGCACATCGGTACTGTTGTCATAATATGACGATTTCCGAAAGGTCGAAATTTTTGTTGTTGAGTATTTCTACCATTCTGCTGAGAAGCTGCCATCTATTCAGCTTAGGTAGGTCCCGACAGACTGGCCCAAAGCAGCCCGCCTCCGAAAAGATTTGCTTAATGTCGCAAGGGGAGCAAAACAATTACAATCACACAAAAACCGAACTAGAAAAACGTATACCTTTGACTTCGACGAACATTTTGCAGCTGTACGAGTTCCCGCTGCTGTCTGATCCTTCAAAAGTCACCTCAGAGACCCCAACTGGAAATAGGTCACCAGATAGAGGGTCACTTGTGACGACGATGTTCTCCCCAGAATTGTCTGTGGCTGCCGGCATTAACCAGGAAACTGCTTTTGGCGATCGTTTGGGCTCCGAGGAAACGTTGAGATTCCCTGGGCATGTGAACGTCGGGGCCTCCACGTCTTGTTCACATAGGACGGGACAGACAGACAAACAGAATATAGGGGGAAAAGACAATGTTTAAAAAAAATCCCAGATAAGAGAGGAGAAGAGAAAAGAAGAGAAGAGAAGATAAGAAAATGTTATTTATCTCAGATAAGATAGGAGAAGAAAAGAGAAGAGAAGAAAATAGAACAGAACAGAAGAGAAGAGAGGAGAAGAAAAGAGAAGAGAAAAGAAGAGAGGAGAAGAAAAGAGAAGAGAAAAGAAGAGAGGAGAAGAAAAGAGAAGAGAAAAGAAGAGAAGAGAAGAAAAGAGAAGAAAAGACAATGTTATTATCTAGGATAAGAGAAGACAAGAGAAGAGAAAAGAAGTGAAGAGAAGAAAAGACAATGTTACCGGTATTTATTTGTCCAGATCCTGGCACATTGGTTTGATGTTCCACCCCGTACACACATACACACACACACACACACA